CCAGGGGACTCGAGCATCTTGGGGGCTGGTGGCCGAGGGCCCCGACGTGTGATTAGAAGGCTGGAGACCGGGCCCATCACCCACGAGCGACGAGCCCATCAGCCCCGAGCCCCCCTAAGAACCCGAAATGAAGGGGTGCGGGAGCCTCCGGGCACACGGGGGTGCCGGCAGGGGACGGGTGGCCCCCGGGCAGGGGGCAGGGCCTGGAAGCTCCGTGCTCCTTCCACACACCCGCCCGCCCTGTGGGTGTCTTCCTTTGGCTGTTCCCCAGGCCTGTCCTTGAGGATGAACCAGTAACCGGGAGTGAGGTGTTTCCCTGAGTTCTGTGAGCCGTTCTAGCAAATTATGGCTGGACAAGGGGGTCTGGAACCCTGACTTACAGCTGGTGACAGCCTGGACGTGGGGGCGGTCTCGTGGGGCCCGGCTGGCAGCCTGGGGAGGGGGCCTGCACTCATGCCCCGCAGCTAGGTCAGAATTGAGTTGAACTGTAGGACACTTTGGCATTTTCCTTTACACCAGGTGTTCTGTAAGAGGCAAGAAACCAGACTGACCAGTCTCCCTCCTTCCTCCAGGTCATATGGCCCAGCTTCAGAAGCAGCCCGAATGCCAGCCGTGTCTTCCATTTAACAGCACTTGACCTTAGGTTGCTATCTGACGTAGGAAAGACGTTAGGGTTTGAAGCCAACAGCCGAGAAAGAATCCTGAGACATCTTTGGTGCAAAAATGTTTTATTAAAGCATAGGAACGGGGGACCCATGGGCAAAAAGATCCGCACCGGGGTCATGATGAGTGGCGGGCCCACTGTATACTTTTTTTTTTTTAAGCTTTATTTGGCAGACGGAGAGAGAGAGCACAAGTCGGGGGGAATAGCAGGCAGAAGGAGGGAGAAGCAGGCTCCCCGCCAGGCAGGCCTGATGCAGGGCTCCATCCCAGGACCCCAGGGTCATGACCTGAGCTGAAGACAGAGACTTAACCCACTGAGCCCCCTATTACATACTTTCGTGTTGGAAGGGGGTTACGGAGAGCATATGAAAGCAAGCTTTCCAGGACCTTGAGGGGGGCTAGCTCTTGTCAGGAAAGGGTCATTTATTACCGTCTAATAAAACCTGAGTCATGAGACTCTTCAGGTGTGTGTCGCAGTGGGCCACATGCTTGGGGGATGATTGCCAGCATGTATCTCAGGGGTAGAGATAAAGGGAGTTTCTATCCAAGTACTAACCAGGCCCGACCCCGCTTAGCTTCCGAGATGAGACAAGATGACGGGGTTTCAAGGTGGTAGGGCCACAGACTAAAGGGAGTTTCCAAAGGAATTTTTAAATGTTAAAGTAGACTTACGGGATCCTGGCAGCGGGGAGGGTGGTTCAGCTAGGACTGCCTTTTGTCCTTAGCAAAGTGTCAACATCGCGGGCAGTTGGGGCCCTAGAGGAAGGTCACTGCCTGCTTCAAGGACTTGTCAATGAACTGCACGTAGTTAAGGAAATGTAATCATTTCTATGCTGCCTTTGCACCTGCCACATTTGTCCCCCTGGGATGGACGCTGTGTGAGATACCCCCTTGTACTCCGTGGCCTATGCTGCAGTGTGTGTATGTGCACACACGTGTGAATGCCTGTGTATACCCATTTGAACACACATTTTCTGGAAAGTCATGGTTATGTGTCAGACTCCGGGCGAGTCCCGGGCCCGCAGTGAATGCTGAACAGCGGACCCCTGGACGTGTCTGTCCCTGTTCCATGGCCTATGCCTGGTGGGGCCTCCTAGGATTTTGTCTCCTGAGGCAGAGTCCAGCTCCTGGGCAGCCCTCTTGAGCTTACCACCCGCTGTGTGACGCCAGCACAGGCCACCTTTCGCGGTGAGCATTTACTTGCACGATGCAATCTCTATTGCGTAGAAAGCCACGAGCAGATAGACAGGAGGCCCTGATGGGGGTGCAGGCTTCCTCCCCAGCCCTTCGCCAGGCCCTGGGCACGTCCCTTCCCATCCCCTCAGACACCACCACTTGCCCTGATACATGGGCTTCCTAGAGCGGCTGTAACAAATGACCCCCAACTCCGAGGCTTCAAACAACAGATGTTTATCCTCCCATCCTTCTGGAGGCCAGAAGTCCGAGATAAAGACGGTCTGCCCCTCCAGAGGCCCTCCGGGAAGATGGTTTCTCACCGTTTCCAGCTGCCGGGGGCTGCGGCCACTCTCCCCCCACCTTCACCTAATCTCTCCCTGGTGTCTACACGCTCCTCTCCTTCCTCCCACAGAGACACGTGACTGGATTTAGGGCCCATCCCGATCCAGGATGGCCTTATCTCCAAACCTTGCCGAACTTCTATCTGCAAAGACCTTTATTCCAAATAAGGTCACATTCTGAGGTTCCCAGGAGACGTAGCTTTTGGGGGACACCACTCAACCCCCTGCACTTAGGTCTGGGAATGGCCAAGCAATCCCCAACACTGGGCAGTGGACACAGGAGCGCCCACAGTGCCTTTCCAGGGGGGGGCTGCCCATCGTCCACTCTGCGTTGGAGAGGGCGGAGGTTTCCGATGGAGAAAGTTTCTGAGAATGACTGAAAACCTCCTTCTCTTTCAGATAAAGTTTTAGTATTGTATTTAGAATCTTTGAAAGAAAACTACTATTTGCTTTTCTTACCACGAGTGGGATCTGTGAGGTGAAGGCCTTGTCTTACCCTGATAGCCACTTTTATCTGTGAATGGATGAGGCCCCTTCGTCCCGCACCACTGGTTTGGGGACAGGTTCCCAACCTCCCTAACCACGGGGAAGGTGACCGCCCCTCCCTGCAGAGGCCTCCCAGCCAACCCGCCTTCCAGGCAAGGTCAGTGAGGCTGGGACCAGAACTCTGAGCTCCCCAGGTCCCCAGGTCCCATCCCCCCCCCCCCCCCCCCCCCCCCCCCCCCCCCGCACTGCGTGCCCTGGAGCAGTGAGGCTGGCAAGGCCCCTCTGGCGGAGACCAGCCCCCCAATAGGTACAGAGAGCTTCACTGCCTGCCCCCCACCACCTGGCCTTCCTCCTCCTTCATCTACCTGGGGGACCACTGGGCTCTCCCTCACCCCCCCGCCCCTCCCTGCTGCCCCTGCACCTTCTCCCCTCTCACCTGTCAGGATCGTTTCTGCTCAGCTCTTCTCCCCAGAGCTTTGAGGTTTCTGGACCCAATCTTTGACCTCAAACAAGGCCTGTGGGCAGGGCTTGGCGGTCAGGGCTTCCAAGCCTTGGTTTTCAGATGGCTTAAGCAAATGCCAGGCCTGTCTGCCCATCAGGAGGAGGGGGCCTTGTCGGTGCAGGCCTGAGGAGTGTGCCCGAAGAGGGACTTTGAGCGTCTGGGTCCACTTGGGGGCCCATGCTCCCCACACCAGGGCCTCGCTTCCTGTGTCAGGAACACAGCCCCCCCCCCCACCGTGTGCTGTCTCCCCAGCATGTGAGTGAGCAGTGTGCTCAAGGCCGGGCAAGGCAGCACCGGTGGTGTGTGGGACCATGCTGGCCTTGACTCTGCTTGGGGGGGGGGGGCGGGACAAGGGACAGACACTGCAGGGGTCCACGGTAGGGGGCTGGGCAAGGACCCACTTGCCTTGGGAGGGAGGGGCATGCTCATGCGGGGGGCAGGGGGGGGTCCGTGTCTCCCCTCTGAGGATCACAGGCCTGACCCAGCCCAGCTCAGCCTGCGGAGGAGAAAGGGCGGGGGGGGGGGGGGGCCCAACGCTCCCCCGGGGCCCCCGGGGCGGGCCGGCCCCCCCCCAGCAGCCACAACGGCGGGGGGGGGGGGCACAGCTGGGAAGGGACACTGCACAGAGCAGGTGGGGAGGGAGTTCCTCCTGCTGTCACTCCCCCACACACCCCAACAGGTGCTGCCCCCCACCCCTCTCAACATTGTGCCCTCTGCCTGGGTGGAGAGGCTTCAGGTCTGCTCCCAAAGTGAGGTGTGGGGGACGCTTGAGGAAACCTCATGGCCCTGCTAAGTCCTATTGCCTCTTGGGGCGGCAGCTCCCCGACAAGGCCCCGGTGCCTGCTGGACTGGGCATCCTCAAATATTTGTGGAGCAGCGTGTGAGCCCTGCCGCCTCCATACACGCCTCGGGGCAGATTCCAAGACAACTCTGCAGAGCCTTTTCTCCGCTGGGGGGGATGCTAAGGGCTGAACTCAGCCACAGGGAGGACAGGGGAGCCTCATGTGGAGCCCTCCAGGTGGTGAGGCCCACAGACCCCAGAGTGGGCAGCTTCCTCTCCCCTAGCCCTGAGCAGCCAGGCAGCTGGGAGAAAGGGGCACTTCTGTGTAATTCTCAGGAAGGAACCCTGGGGGTCATTCCAGGCAGGCCGCCTGGGTCATGCGGGTCAGGGAGGTAACTGCTCCCCTCCAATGGGGATGAAACAGGCAAACCAGGCATCCTCACACGCCCATCTTCTCTCTCCGCAAGATCCCACCCCCACGCTGCTCCTAGACTGAATGGGGCCTCCCGTCCCTGGAGCTGGGGGTGCGCCTTGGCAAGGGAGGCTCGTCAGGGACCAGAGTGCACCCACTATTTCTGTCCCGCGGGATGGAAAGGAGATTCCCAGGGAGGCAAGTTCTGCCCAAACCCATTTCTGGTCTCTGGCCCTCAGTCCCAAAGCCCAGGCCAAGAATGACCCTCACGCTGGCCCGGGCCCACCCAGGCACCTTGGCTGGAGCTCCCCACCGAGTGGGCACAACTTTGCTTCCAGGGTCCGCACAGAGCGCCCCTAGCGCCTGTCCACGACCCCCCGCCCGCACCCCCGCCCCCGCCCCGGCCCCCGCGGCTCACCTGGCCTTCCCGCGGTGGAAGGCCGTCCTAGGCCCCAGGACGCTTCCTCTGCCTTGGCCTTGGGCCGTGTGGGGTGGGGCGCCCGCGGCCGCGCGCCGCGACCAGCCTCCCCGGCCGAAGCGCCGCCTCTGCCGCGTGCCCCGAGGCCGGCCGGGACGCGCGGGCCCTTTAAGGGCCGGGGGCGTGTAGCGGCCCGCCCCCTCCCCGCAGCTCCCGGCCGCCCGTTAAAGGGGCCGCGCCCTGGGCCCCCGCCGAGTGCGAGCCCGGGCGGAGGGCAGGGCAGGGCGTGCGTCCCGGGGAGCGCGCGGGCGGCCGGGCCCTCCGCACCATGTACACCATCACCAAGGGGCCCAGCAAGCTGGTCGCGCAGCGCCGCACAGGTGCGCGGGGCGCGGGGCGCGGGGCGGGCAGGACCGGGGGGAGGGTCCGCGCAGTGACGGCCCGGGCGCGGCGGCGGCTGACGCGCCCGGTGCCCGCAGGTCCCTCGCAGCAGCAGGTGGAGAGCCGGCTCGGCGAGCTCCTGAAATGCCGGCAGCCCGCGCCGCCGACCCCAGCGCCCCCGCGCGCGCAGCCGCCGGGACCCTGGCCCCTGTCGAGGTGAGACGCGCGGGCCGGCCGCTGGCGACCGCGGGACCGGGAGGTTGACCTTGGGGAAGGTTCGCGGAGACCCGGCCGCATGCTCGGGGCGGGCGCGGGGCGGAGCGTGTGACCCCGCCCGCGCGGGCGGCTCCGGCCTCCGCGCCTCCGCCCTCGGCGCTTCGGCCTCTCCGCCTCACCTGGCACCTGGCGGGGTCGGAGGGGGCCGGGCCGGATGCACACGAACCCCTCGCTCTCTCTGGCCCCGTGGGACCTTGGCGGAGCCAGAGCGGGGAGGAAGCGGACCAGCTCCGGGATCGCAGGAGCTCCACGCGGCTGACTCAGATGCCCCGGGCGACCTTGGGCGGCGAGGCCAAGGTTTGAGGCGAGCTGCCCAGGAAGGCGGGAACAAAATATCCTAGGGTGCGGGCCCTCGAGGCCTCCTGGCTCCGGCCCGGCGGGAGGCTGCCAGCCCCGTCCTTGCAGAGCGGGCTGGGGGAGAAAGTGCACGGGGTTCCCTGTGGCCCTACCAGGCCCCTGCTCTCCGTTGCCCTTCACCCCAGACACCCTGGCTGGGGACTGGAGGCCTCCCACAGATGCTCAGGCCTTGCCGGAACCTGCAGTTCCTGCCTTTTCTGACCAGCTTTTCCGCCAGTGCCCACCGCCTGCCCCACAGGAATCTGCGTCCTGGCCCATTTGGCGTCCACATGACCTTGACCAGGAGGTCAGATTCCCCCCATGCCCCAGAGCTCTTCACTTTTTTGTGTCAGCTCTGGACCTTGGGTTTCATTTATTCTGTGCGTTTTCTGGTCCCAGGGCTTTCTTCCAAGCCCACAAAGGCCTGAGGTTTCCTGGGCTAGGCCGTGGGTAGGCACCGCAGAGAAACAGGGTGGTTGACTCAGGGCCCCCCGAGGCAGCTCTGAGGGCACAGGTGATGGGGGCCTGGCAGGAGGGGGGAACCTGTGGGGGTGTTTCTGGTCTGAGGCCCTTCCCTGCGGGGGGAAGGGGGCTTCTGCTGGGGGCACGTTGACATTTTGAGGCTGCTTCCTAGTGATGAAAACATTCTGGGCTAACCACCGATGTGTCCTGGGGAGACCGGTGAGCAAGCAGGGCCTTGAGGGCCTTCCTGGGACCCAGGCTGTGTTAGAATATCGCCCTGTGACCTCAGCTTTGGTCCTCACAGCCGCCCTACTGCCCAGAGGAATAAACAAGGTGTACGTGTATAGCTGCGACTGGTCACCCAGGCAGAGGACCTGGGGGCCCAGTGGTGCCGGGCACCGGGACCCTCTCCCCTGGAGAAGCGCGTCACCTCCCTCTACACAGTCCCATTGCAGATGAAATCAGGGTGCACCCATGGTAGGGTCGGGGAGTGGTGTGGAGGGAGTTGGGAAAGATGGCATAGAGTCCTTACCATACCCCAGGCTTCACCTTCGCCCTTAGCTGGCCCTCAGCCAGTTGGGCACATCCCAGCCTGCTGGGTCAGGAGGGTGCTGACTAGCCCGGCCAGAGGGAGTGCAATACTCGGCCTGCCTCAGCCCTGCGCGGCATAGGGTTGGGGGTCCTGCTGCGTGCCCCGGGGTGGCAGGCTGGCCCCCTTACCCCCGAGGTCACTCCCTCTTCCAGAGCTGCCCCTTCCCAGTCCCTGTGGCCTCGAAATGACCCTGCTGGGAGGCAGTGCTGCCATGAGCCCTCCCGGGGCCCGCTCCTGAACCTTCTCAGGGGGCTGCCTCCGAAAGAGCTCCACCTGCCTTTCTGTCCGTCCTTCCCTGTTTTTTTCCTCTGTAGTGCCTTTTTATTATCCAGCATCCCTCACCCTGCCTTGCCCACGAAACAGGGGGTGTCTGGGCCACGGCCGCATCCTGCATGCCTGGGGTGTCTGGCGCGTGGCTGGCGCTCAGAACGGCTGGCCTGATTCTTCGGGCTGGGGTTCCGGCCCTCCATGGGGCAGTGCCTCTGGGCAGCTCTCGCTCCCATTGTGAGACAGACAGCAGAGGACAGGAAAGGTGATATCCGTGGGTGGGAAGACGATAAGGGGGCACCCGGTGACCGCCCCCAGAAGGTCACGCGAGGAGGTCACGGAGGTGGCCTGGGTTACTGAGTTGTGGGCTTTGAGGTCAGGCAGCTGTGTGGTTATGTTCTGGAACTAGTGCCCATTTGCAGGGTGTGAATTTGGGTGGGTCACTTCCCTCTGGAAGCCAGTGCCCAGGGCTGGAAGTGGGGTTGGAGAGGACTGCGAGGACTGGAGAGGACTGTGTGGGTTGAGCGGGGACACCAGGGCCGGCCTATGGGGCGGCATCCTCAGGAGCAGGCACAGCCCTCAGGAGCGTGCACAACACGTGCACAGCAAGTGCACGCGCACCAGCGCCCTTTCCCCCGGAAGGCCTGTGCGGCACCCTATGTAACAAACTCCCAGTGGGGTTGGGGGTGGTCAGGTGGGTGCCTGCCTACTAGCACTGTGCTCAGCCCTGGGCAGGCCACCGCTTTGGTCCCTGGGGGCCACAGCCCATGGCTGCAATTCCCTTTCCGGTTTTCCTATTTCGCTGACCAGCCTCCACTTTCCTGGAGTCTGCAGGCTTGTGGGGGCGGGGGTGGCAGGTGAGGGGCTGTCCAGGTTGAGGACAAACCTTCATAGGTTCTGGTCGGTGCAGCTCAGGCCTGGGAGGAGCCCTGCCCCCGCTACAGTTTCTTCGATGGCCTGGAGCTGGTGGGACCGGTGCCCCTCAAGACACTCCTCTTTATTTTAGTGCCCCTCTCAGCCAAGGAGGACCCCCGAGCGGCGGTGGGGCACCTGAGCCCAGGAAGGAGAGCAGGCCGGCGGGACCGCGAGTGCCTGGCGGAGTGGCACGTGCAGCCCAGGACTCCCGGCTCCCACCTCCTGCTGTAGGTGCGGGCCCCGCTCCCTCCACAGCCCCATTCTGGGCTTTGTGTGTGCAGGGCTAGGCCAGCTGCCGCCAGCAAGGGCAGCCCATCACTGCCCTGGGCCCCGCTGATCACTGAGCGGGACAGGCCCAGTGGCTCCCTGGATATCCCATGCCCACCAGGCTGAGCTCCAGCGCCTGGGGGCCATCTCCTCACCCAGCCTCCCCACCCCCGTGGGCAAGAGAGTTGCCTGTCTGGGACCTGCAGAGCTGGGCTGGGGTTGAAGTAACAACTTCTCCACTCAGTGCTCTTTGGCCAGAACATCACTTAGGGCTCATCCCCACGGAGCCTGGGACAGCCAGGAAGAGGGAAGGGCCAAGATGGGCTGTTTCTTGTTTGGGTCCTTTCTCCCACACGGGACAGTGGTGAGATGGAGAAGCTTCTGTGGGGGGAGAAGATGGCCGAGAATTGCGCCTGGCCAGTTGTGGCTGGGTTAGAGTGATGTGGTTGTAGCTTAGGTCCAAACATGGGTTGCTGGAGACCCGGCTGGTCCTGGGGAGGTGGGATGCAGGTGGCAGTAGGGGTACCCGAGAGACCCCTGGAGGAGTGCCTGTGTGCCTTGAGCACGGAGCCCTGCTGGGGGTCTGGGACACAGGACTGGGGACTGCAGGTGTGACTCGAGCTGCTGGGAGCTTGGGCCTGCAGGAGAGAGGCCTCCCCCGCCCCCACGGCAGCACAGAGCTACCCTGAAGGTCAAGGAAGTGCGCAGGCTGGGCCTGGCCTGGGGGTGGTGGGTGTGGCCTGCTGCTGCTCCTGGAGCTTTGCCAGGTGTTACCTTAGGGCTTGGGACAGTTGCTGACCGTCTCCTCCCCCCTCCACAGTCCAGGGCCAAGGCTTGTGTTCAATCGGGTGAATGGCCGGCGGCCCCCTGCCACATCTCCATCCCTTGAGGGAACCCAAGAGACCTATACACTGGCCCATGAGGAAAACGTCCGGTTTGTTTCTGAAGGTAGTGTCAAGGCCGGAGGGTGAGGCCTGGGTCCCTGTTCCTCCTCCCCACTATGACCTGATTTAAAGTACCTAGAGGGCCGGGCTCTTCCTAGACGGTCTCCCTGTCCTTCCTGTGACTGTCTGGTGGGCTCCCCATTCCCATTCTTGGCTGGGGTCCAGGGCGGCCACCGAGCCCTGGGTGGGAGACAGGATGCCAGGGGCCTGGCTCAGCCTGACTGTTCTCTCCCCACAGCTTGGCAGCAAGTGGAGCAGCAGCTGGGCAGTGGCCCAGCTGGCGCTAGTGGGCCTAGGCCTGTGCAGTACGTGGAGAAGACCCCCAACCCCCGGCTGCAGAGTGAGCCCTCCCCTGCTCTCAGGGAGTCCCCTCCACTCCCTCCAACCCTGACCTGGGCCCTGCTGGGTTCGAGCCCTAGGGGATTGGGGAGGGCACTTGAACTTGACCTGCTTCTTCCTAGTGCTTGCTGCATTTGGGTGTGGGGGAGGGGCTTGTGGTCAGTTCTGAGGGAGAGACACTGACTGATCCAGGAGGCAGCTTCACTGCCCAGCCTTCTGCTCTGCCCACAGACTTCGTGCCCATTGACCTGGACGAGTGGTGGGCGCAGCAGTTCCTGGCCAGAATCACGAACTGCTCCTAGCTGCCTTGGAAGGAGTGTCCGTGCAGGGCCTGGCTCTGCCCTGTGGTGGACCTCGCCCCCCCGCCAGCAGAGGACGTCGGAGTCCTGTGTAGCCACTGTGGCAGGCCGTCCCTCACCCTGAGTCTGGCCAGGAGCCGTCCACACCTGAAGTGCCAGCATTTGGACTTTTGCACCTGGTGACCCCTTGGACCAGCTGTCCTGTGCTGCCAGGGGCCAGGAGCTGAATCTGTCTGACCTCATTCCTGCTCACTGTGCCCAGGGTCCAGCCCCTGGGGCTGGCAGGGAGGAGTTCCAGGCTAATAAATCTGAGAAACTGCCCTTTTTGAGTGGTCTTTATTTGGTGTGGGGATGGGGTCAGGGTCCTCACATACTAAGTCCAGCCTAACCTTTCCTTGGCCCCACAGCTGCAGCTCTGCCCAATTCTGGCCCTCCTGTGTCCTGACAGGTGCTGGGGCCCTGAGCCAGCTCATCTTTTCTTGGGTGTCGCTGGACCTTACCCAGCACGACCCAGCTTTCTCCCTGTCAGCCGGGGCTTGAGCCCCATCTCACGATCCACAGTCATTAGCACCTGGCCCGGAGATAGCGTCCCAGAGGCCCAGGAGTGGGGCCAAATCTCCCCATGCTTAGTCCTGTGTCTTTTTTTTTAAGATTTTATTTATTTATTTGACAGACAGGGATCACAAGCAGGCAGAGAGGCAGGCAGAGAGAGAGAGAGAGAGAAGCAGGCCCCCCGCTGAGCAGAGAGCCCGATGTGGGGCTCGATCCCAGGACTCTGGGATCATGACCTGAGCTGAAGGCAGAGGATTTAACCCACTGAGCCACCCAGGTGCCCCTTAGTCCTGTGTCTTAACCCCCCGGGGCCGAGTGGCTCTGAGGGACACCGCTTTGCCTCTCCGGTGGGTGGCACTGCCTGCGGACCAGAGTGGAGCACATCAGATGTGGGCGCTAGAGGGCTGCAGGCCGTAGGGTGGAGCCCAGCGGGCTGCCGCTGTCAAACGCACTCCCATAAACACGGGTGCGTGTCCTTCCCCATACAGACCGGGCCCCAGAGCGCCACGCACATGCCTAGTCCCCACCGCGGCCGCGCTAGGGCATCGCCACAGGGGGCTGGCGTGGGAGTGGCCGCAGAGGCCCCGGGACGCGACACCGCCCACCGCGGGCCTTGCCTGCGTCCTGCCCCGCCGCGGTCACACGACCCGGCTCTGCGCGCACCGCGATCACGTGGCCAACGCCGCGCCGTCGCGCGTCCAACCCCGTCGCGGTCACGTGGCGTCGTGCGCAGGGCGGGGGGGGCGTGGCGCCGTTGCCAGGCGGCCGTTGCTAAGCGCGCGCTGCGTGCCCTGCGTGGAGCGCGCGGCGGCCGAGGCGGGAAGTGCGAGCGGCTACGCCATGGCGAAAGGTACTGGCGCGCGGCGGGCCGGGGCCCGGGGGCCGGGGCAGGGTGTCGGTGCGGGAGGGGGCGGGAACGGGGCTCGGGGCGGCGAGGGCCGGGGCCGGGGGCGGGGCGGCGGCGCGGCGGAGACCGGGGGTCCGCCTCGGGGGGACGGAGCTCGGGGCGGGAGGTAGTCCGCGCTGCGGAGGCCGTGGTCGGCGGGAGGACGCGGGATGCGCACAGTATCGCTGTCGCAGCGCGGAGATGGGGGCGGGTGGAGCGCAGGCCCAGGCTTTGGCCCCTCCCTGGGAGGTGTGGAGCCCGGCCGCGCGACGCCCCTTCTCGCTGGCGGGGGTCTGGCATCTGGGGACGCGCCTTCACGCCCGCGGGGGTCCTCACACCTTCCTGGCTCCCCAGTGTGGCAGCACCCGTTCCTCGACGTCTTCAGACACTTCCAGGTGGGCGAGTGGAAGCGGTCCACTAAGGAGGGCGATGTGGCTCTTGTGACCGTAAGTGGGCCCCGGGGGCCGGCAGCAGCCGTGGGGACCCCGTCTGAGCCCTCCTGAGAAACCCGTTAGAACCACCCGAGGGTCACGCCGGTGGTGCCCTTCCTGGCGTCCCTGGGTGGACCGAGCTGCCTCTCCGTTCTCTGTCTTCAGGATAAGACTCTGAAGTGCACCGTGTACCGCATCCGGGGTCCTGTCTCTGCCAGCAGTTACATCCAGCTCCCCAGAACCAGCACCCAGTCTTTGGGGCTGACGGGCCGGTACCTGTACGTGCTCTTCAAGCCCCTGCCAGCCAAGCACTTTGTCATCCACCTGGATGTGGCCACCGAGGTGCAGAGCTTGGGAGAGTGGGGTCGGCAGGGCTGGGGGTGCACGCTCGCAGCCGCTCTCGTCTCCTCATGGTCGTGCTGTGCCCTGCAGGACAGCCAGGTCATCCGTGTGTCCTTCTCCAACTTCTTCAAGGAGTTCAAGTCTACGGCCACGTGGCTGCAGTTTCCCTTCATCTGCGAGGCTGGGTTTTCTTTAAAAGGTGATGCCGAAATGGGGCGTCAGTGGGGGCGGTAGCCCTGGAGAGGTGGCCTGAGAGCAGAGAGGGAGGTGGGGGGCATGCCGTGCTTGGGGCTGGCCAAGTACAGAGTGCCGTGAGCTGGCTGGTGAGACTGTGGGCGCTGATCTCGGCTCACGCTCTCCAGAGCCGGCCGGTGTCGCTCCCTCTGGTACCCGGTGGACATGCCTACAGCTGGACTTGCGGGACGTCCTGCTCCTGTACCTGAACCGGCGCTACGGCCACCTCAAGAGCGTCAGGCTGTGTGCTAGTCTGCTGGTGAAGAGTCTCTACACCAGCGACCTGTGCTTTGACCCTGGTGAGTGCCGTGCTGATGCCCCCGGCCTGCTCCTGCTCTCCTTCTCAGCAGGAGGGGCTGACAGCCGGGCCCACGACAGAAACGCCTGTGCTGTGCCGTCTTGGAGCCCCCCAGCAACCGAGGCACCTGTCGGGGGCAGGGGGTGGTTGTGGCTGGGCTGGTGGCGTCTGGTGTCGAGACTCGCCTGGGCTGCAAGAGGGAGCTGGGTGGGCCTCCTTCCCTGGACTGGCTCTGTCCTCTGTCCTCTGTAGCTGTCAGCGCTGCTGAGGCGCGGCGGGCGAAGCTGCCTGTCGTACCTGTACCGCGAGAAATGGCATTCCCGGTGCCAAAGGGGGAGAGCTGGTGTGACCACTATGTCCACATCCGGTGAGCGGCTCCGCCCATCCTGCGGGAGGCCGGTGAAGGGACGGCGGGCTGGCCGCTGGAGGCTGACGTTCCTTCCACCCTGTCTAGGTTTCCCAGAGACAGCTTCAGAGTGTCCTCCGAGCCGGCTCCGGAGAGCTCTTCGCCTCCTGAGGCAGGTGGGCCTGTGAGGGCAGCAGGGATTGGGCTCCGGCCTGCAGGGGCGTGGAGTTCTGTGGGAGGGGGTGTTGATAGTGGGGGTGGCGACCCTGGCAGGGGGGTACCCACAGGGCCCAGGGCGCGCCTCGAGGCTGTCCTGAGATGCCGGCTCCGTGGGGGAGGTGTAGGTGCTTGGTGTTCTCAGCCTTTCCAGCTAGGAGGGCGTTCTGGGGCCCGGGGTAGGAGAGTGGCCTGCGGCTGTGGCTTGGCAGGAGTGGGCGAGGCCCTGGGACCGTGCTTTCCCCAGGCCTTTGTACCCTCTGCTGAGCGGCTCCTGTGGCCTCTGGCTGTATTCCAGACTTCCTGGGGCGCGCGCCGCAGGTTCTCTCTCACCCAGTGGCTTTCAGCAATCGCCTCCAGGACCGCGTGCCCTCTGTGGTGCAGGCGTTTGGCCCCGTAGCCGTGAGTGCTCCTGTGTCCTTGGGGGCGGGGCTGGGGGGTGGCAGCCTCAGGGTGCTGACAGGCCCTTGTGCCCCTGCTGTCTTGTCAGGCCCCCTCGGAGCCCAGGCCCCTTCCAAAAGTCAGCGTGTTCTGTGAGCGCTCAGAGCTCCCCAGTGTGAATGGCCCCAGTGACCGTAGCCAAGAGCCCTCAGCCAGGCCGGAGGGTGTTCACATGCCCGCTCCTGAGCGGACCGTGGTGCCCGTGGCCCCGGAGGGTGTGGCTGTGCACGAGGTCAGTGCCTACCCCGGGGAAGGTGAGGGGTAAGCCGTTTCACCAACGTGGGTGAGGCCTAGATGAGGTGTGGGGAAGGTCTGCTGGGTCTCTGAAACCTGTCGTTATCCAGCCTTCCCATGGAAAGCAGCACGGGCAGGAGGTGGCTTTGGACGAGAGTCTCTTCCCGCAAAGGGTCCGGAGGCACCAGGTGATCCGTGGAGGCCTTGGGCTGCAGGCAGGGGCCGGAGCTGGGCTCCCCAAAGGGTCTGGCACTGAGGCCAGGTCCTGGCTTCCTGCCCCGGTGCAGCTATGTTGCTTCTCAGGAGGGAGGAGCCAGCATGGGCTGGTGGGGCCCTAGTGGGCAGGAGCCTCACCTCCTGGGGTCTCAGTGCAAGTTTGCCTGTTTCAGAGCCTTCTCCCGGATCCCGTCCTGAGGCTCAAGGGAGTCATCGGCTTTGGGGGCCACACCACCAAATGGGTGAGGGGTCCTGTGCTCTTGCTGGGCCGCATGAGTGTCAGTCACACAGAGGGGGCAGTGGGAAAAGCTTGTGTTTCCCCAGTGTGGTTACGTGGACGTCTAAGCGTCCTCAGGGTGTGGAGTCCCTCCCCACACCCCGCGGATTCCCGGCCCTGTGTCTGCACACGGCTCTGCGTTCGCTCGGCGGAAGCGTGGGTGTCCCATCCCAGTGTCCGTTCCTTCTGTCCCGAGCGCAGGCCGTGTGACACGGGCCCAGGTGCAAGAGCGTCCCTAGACCTGAGAGCTCGCATGTATCCTGTGAGGCTCTGATGCTTGTCTGGTGTGCGGGGCTGGTGTGGGCACCGGTTTTGGGTCTGCGGCCCTGTGCTTGCCGGGTCCTTCTAGACGCGGTCTGAGTGTCTGTGGGTCTTGGTGTTTCTCTACCTCAACTCCGGAGTTTCTAATACCACAGACAGGGTTTGGGGACATCCTGCATGAGTGTGTACACTCCTGACACGCGGGGATTGTGCTGGGATTGGGGCGGGCGGAGGCTGAGCAGCCTGGGACGTCTGGGTCTGGCCCCTGTGCACAGGCCCTGTGGACCAAGGACGGCGCTGCTGTGGTATATCCCTGCCACGCGGCCATC